TTTTTTTAACCGACCTCAAAAAAAGTTATCGTGCGATTAATTGATTTATTGACTATCGCGACAGGCCTAAACATGATATGAATTTGAGGTCATACCGCCCAGCCCTACAGTATACTGACAGTTTGTAATCTTAACCTGTGCTCTTTAGTTAATTCCATTGTTACTCTTTAAGTTCTAGGTTAACTGTGTGTTGCAGGAAAATGAAATTAGTTTTCTGTGTAATTATTGTAAATGATTTAAAATTGTTCTGACTCCACAGGATCAGTCATGAAGCCCTGCAGAAACTGGCCTTCATCCTTCAGTCCACTAAAAATGAAACCTTTGACGTCTCAGATGAAGGAGCAACTCCTACAAAGTACCGTAGACCTTTCCTCTACCTGTTACCACGTTTTTTTAAATAATATTTCACTGTTAACTGTATATTTTATCTGCTTTATTTAAAGTGTTGAAACATCAAGTAAGTTGTTTTGGATTATTTCTCTGGCGCTGCTGTTGTCACTGCTTCTGTGGTTAACACTGATAACGGTGAAGGTCCTCACAGATCACCAGGGCTCATAAGATGGAAAACAACTTCACTTTATCTGCTTTAACTCAGACAAGCTGCTGTTGCTCGTTTTACCGACAGCAGTTCAAAGCTGATGTGACGTTTGTTTCTGCTTGGTTTTTATTTTTTTATCTAGGCTTCTTGTGCGCGGTTGACGAACCTCCGTATCTGTAAGTGTTGAGTTTCCCTCTAATCAGTGAGACAGCTCGAGTCTCTTTGATCAGCGTTAACAGAGACGGCTCATATTCTTCAAAGAACAGCATACTGTATGTTTGAGTTTAGTCTTTTTTGGTCATTTTTCTTAAGTGTCCTGTTTTTGTTGTGTTTGACAGCGAACAGGACGTTGACTTCACAGAGATGGAGCTCCTGCCTCCTCCTCCCCTCTATGCTGATAACTTTGATTTATACATGAACTGAAGCAGGGACTGTTCCTGTCAGACATCTACTGTTGGAAAACTAATATTGAATTTAAAATGAGTTTTCTCCTTTCTGTGGAGGGAAACAGCATCATGACTGCACTGAGTTCTTGATTTCTGTTTAGCACACAGTCTTGTTTTAGTCACTAATTAAATAAATGATGCACAAATATAATATTGCACTTAAGCTAATGGAGGTAAATAGTTATTTGTGATGAATTAAAGGACAATTTGGGATATTTTGAAGGGGGGGTTCTGTGGAAAGATTTTGAGCAATTAATATCTTACCTGTTGCAGATGGAAATGGGTTTGGTCTGACAGGATTGGTGAGACCAAAATGAGTTGCTGTCGTCTTAAATGTCAGAAATGTCATAGTGACTGATGTAAACACGGCTTCATCTTTCACTCATTTATTTAAGTTTATTTAAAAGGTTATTTACATCTATGCCAGCACAAGCACTAGTAGGAATTACACAATATTTAATGCAAAATTAACAGTGTACAGGTTTAAATAAGTGTTTGCATGAATCTCAGTGAATTTTTAATTTGCATTCAGACTAGCCATTAGCTCTTCAATCCCATCAGACATGAACTGTGAGCTGTTTAAATAAAACGTTAACTTGTTTTTCAACAGAACCAGGATTTAAAATGGTCAGAAAATCCCTTTTTAAAGTTTGTCCATGTCTACACGTGTTTTCTGTTTCGATATAACATCAAATAAAAGTTTTGACAATGAGTCGTGCTTTCATTTTATATTTCTCATGGTGACTGGTTTTCCAGATAATATTAGGAGGGAAAACGGCTGTGTTTAATGGGAAATGATGGATTATCCGACCATGAGTCCTGCTGCTGATGTTCTGACTGCAGCATCCCCCCCCCCCCCCCCCGGTGTCGGTCTGAGGTGGGCGTGGCTGGACCCTCATCTGGTCTGAGTGGGGAGGAGGAGCCGGAGGTGGTCTTTGTTGGAGCTGGGCTGTCTACATAAAGGGAGAGAAGAAAGGATGCTCTGCAGGAAAACAGAAGCAGATCTCCGCTGCAGACTTGCACGAGCGTTTTTGACTCGTGTTAAATAGTTGAGCCCGAGCTGACCGGACCAGAACCAGAACCGAGTTTCTTCCTTCCTGCTGGAGGCACACATTAAGTGTTTTAAATGCAACGTTTGATCTGTGAGAAGACCATGGCAGCCGAGACGAAGAACGGCGGGAGTTCCCTGAACAACCCCGCGTGTAAAGACCACAGCAGGACCAAGCTGCTGGTCGCTGTGGACCTCTTCTGCTTGTTTTTAGGTAACAACTCCTTATTAACTCTTATTTTATTACAATATGAATATACCCGGAAGTGTCGCCTTCATTTTACGACTTTAAAACTTATGGCAAAGTAATGTTTAGCTGCTGTAGTACCAGCAAGGTCCAAAGAAACTTTACTTTGTAAAAAAAAAAAATTACATTCATTAAAAATCGCATTTATTGTAAATGCTAAAAGATAAATTTGAGTATTAAAAAGTAGCTTAAATCGCTCCGTTACTATGACAACATGGTAAACATTGAGTTGTGTACGGAAGCCGAGAAAGGATTTTTAATTGCGCTCGTTTTCTTGTTTTAACAGATCAGATCGTTCTGTAGCTTTGTTACCAGAGCAACTCCAGCCTAAACATTTAGTTTTTATTATTAGGATTCATGTTTTTACATTAATGCTGCTGTGGAAACTGTGCAGGCTGAGGGGAAACTAATAAATCTGCTTCCCCAGGAGGAAATACCTTTGAATGTGCTCTCTCTACACCTGAGCTCTGTAAACCTCGGCTCTGACTTACATTTCCTGTAATGCTGACATTGTTCAGCCACAGGAACTCTTCTGATGTGGACATGGTGCAGGTGTGTAAATGTGAATCCACTCAGGTCCTGTAATGTGTCACAGCTGCAGACTCTGGCTAAATTTCTGTAGTTTTTTATTTTTTAGGCTGGTTGAGGCCAGTCTGCAAAGCTTCAAACTTTTAAGCATTAACTTTCTATACAATTCTGTTTCGTAGAACTTGAGTCCAAAGCTTACCTCAAAATGAAAACTCGTGCAGACTCATGGGAAATCCAGTTCTCAAAAATCTCAAGTTTTTACAGAATAAACACTTTATGTAAACTTTATTTAGGTTTGATCGACTATTCTTTGCGAAGGCGAAAGCTGAATGAAACTCTGAGAAGTAAAGGATTATGCCCTTGTTGATGTGACAAAAATCAAAACCAGACAGAACCTTTTCTTTTGGGCGTATGGGTCTAATATTGATGTGTTTTTGTGAAAAGACAGGTGAAGAGCAGCTGGTCGAGGCTCTTAGAAAATACAACGTTCTTTACAACCTTTACAGCAAAGCTTCAGAAGAGTTCAGTGGAAGTTTTGTTGGAGTAAAACAGTTATTGTGCACAAACGAGACAGCGTGGAGACACAGGCGGCTCTCTGTGGCAGTGCTGGCTCAATGTTTCGAGCAGCTCTTTAAAACAAATGCTTTTTTATTGTTTTGTTTCCTCCTCGTCATGTTTATGTGTTTTCTAATACAGCGGGTAAAATAAGTATTGAACACGTCACCATTTTTCTCAGTAAATATATTACTAGAGGTGCTAATGACATGAAAGTTTAACCAGATGTTGGTAACAACCCAAGTGATCCAAACATACAAAGAAATCAAACCATAAATGTCCAGAAATGAAGTTATTTGTAATAATGTGGAATGGCACAGGGAAAAAGTATTGAACACATGAAGAAAGGGAGGTGTAAAAAGGCATGGAAAGCCAAGACACCAGCTGAACTCTCTCAGTAATTAGAAAGCAGCTGATTCAGTCCCAAATGATGACCAGGTATCACACAAGAACCATCTGATGATGGGTAAAAGTAAAGAGCTCTCTCAAGA